TCGCCCCGGGCTCCGGGGGGACCCGCGAGGACAAAGCGCGCGCGGGAGCCCCGGCTYGAGGCGCTCGTTGGTACCGTTGGGCTCGGCGGTGCCCYGGGCACCGGGGCGGCCCGTTCCCCGCTAAGGCGGCCCCCGGCGCGGCCTTGGCCTGGCTCGTGCCCAGGAACGGGAGCGGCTCTCCGTGAGTGTCCCAGCCCGGGGTGGCGGAGGCTGCTCGGGAAGCGCCAAGGGGCTCAGGAGCTTTGTCCAGAGCAAGCGAGCCGGGCGCCATCCCATCCGCCTTCCTGTTGGAATGACCACGAGCCGGGGAGACCGGGACGCGGATCCTCATCGGAGCCTCGTCTGCGTGACAACCGTGAGGCGCCTTCACGAGCCCCCCGGGGCCACCCCGCTGCTCCCGGCCTTGCTCCGAGCTCCGGGGGACCCGTCCCGCTCCCTGGGGCGACGTGGGGGTGTTTAGCGCCCGCCGCCGCTTTCCCCGTGAGAGCCGGCGCTTCCCGCAGCGTCCCCAGGAAGCCTCGAACCATCCCCGTCCCCTCCGCACCTTCGCCCCGGGGCTGCTTACGCAGCCGCCTCTCCTGGCTGGAATAGCAGGGACGTCCAGGCTGGAATTGCAGGGCCGGGAATGATTGCGGAGCTCCCACCCTTTCCTCCAGCCGGCCACCATTCCCTCCCGCCTTGGCCGCTTTGCTCGGGAGCCCCCAGGAGATTCCCTCGTTTTGCTGATTTTGAAGTCCCCCACATGCCCCCGGGGGGTCGGTTCTGTCTCGGTGCCTCCGGAGCAGCGGCCGCTCTATGGTCAAGGCTTGGAGGCAGCTCGGAGGCCGTTGGCACCGGGTCCCCTTGCCAYGGACGTCACCTCTGGGGACACGGACCATTGTCCTGGTGTGTCCCAAGGGAGCCCCAAGGAGGCCCCTGAACGGCTCGACCCGAAACGTGGGTGTAAAAGCTCTGGAAAAGTCTCCTCTCCCTGCAAACGCTGCAAGAGGAACCCAAAGGGCTCATGTTTAAGCTTAAAACCGGACATCAAAAAAGTCTCAGTCTGGTTTTTCAGTTCCAAAGCGYGGCCGTCTCGTGTCGCGTTCCGGTGTCGGCGTGCGGGGTCTCCACGCTGTCTCTTCGGGCGCTGCGGAGCGCCTCCGAGCCCGGGTGCAGGCTGGCACCGCGGCTTTCGGCAGCACGGTGGCGGCGTGCCCGTCGCGCGGGGCGGTTTGTCACCGTCCCGTATTTAAGGCAGCAGCGGGACGCCCGAGTGGAAGGGACAAAATGCCCCGATGGGCTCGAAAAGCGATGGATCCATCCAAGGGATGAGTTCTTCCCGTTCTCAGGGTCGGGGTCTCACCCGCTGGAGCTGTTTCCCTTTGCCCAAAGCTTCGTTCTTTGGGATTTGTTTTCCCCCAGCTGGAAAGCACTGTCACAGGCAGCAGTGGCTCTTGCTCCTTCTTAATTACTGTCTTAATTACTCTCTTRCTGATGGTTAAATACATTATCTTGCCACATCCCTGGGGACTCTGCCTTAGTTAAAGAGCAGAGCGCTCCCGCTCTGTGCCTGACCTAAATTTTAGGCATCCGGAGAAGTGCTCACCTTGCCCCAAATGAAGAGCACAGTGCAGCAAGTGCCAAATTCTCCTTTCTCTGCCATCAGCTGCCTCCGGGGTGGCTTTTTAGTGAGTTCCTTCAGGTCTTGGCTTCTGCAGAACGCAGCTCTTTGCACCCTCTCTTTGCAGGGCTCCTTGGTGTCCGTAGAGCAAGAGGAAGGAGAAATCCCTTAGGAGTTTATTTTCAAGATCCAGATCCCTTAAGTAGCTCGGCTAGTTGTAAAAAAACCTGAATTTCAGAGCATCAGCACCGGGTTGAAATAGGCACCTCTGTGTTTCTCACCGAACTCTTGCAGTTGGGGACGTTTTAAATCCTGGGGGTGTTTTTGGGGCGAGCTCCAGAAACGCAGGGCTATAAAATCCGTGGTTTCTGGCCAACTGCGGGATTCATCTGCAAACGGGCAAGATCTTGGCTAAAGCAACGGTGCCAGAAGAGCCTCTGGGAAGGGCCGAGGGGCTCTCCAGCTTTTCCACAGGGAACGGGTGGAGAATTTTCTGGAAAATATTCCGGCCTTCTCCTTGGAGAACGTGTCGATTCAGAGGTGCTCAATGCTCCCAGCAAACCCTGCAGTCTGGGTTTTTTTTTGCTTTATTTATCTGCAAATCCTGCAGTTTCTCTTTTTGGCTTTGCAGTCAGGTCTCTTTTGCTTTATTCATTCATTAATTTTTCTAAATAATCGTTTTTATTAATTGTGACACTCTCTTTTGCAGGACCCTCTCATTCCCAAGGGTGGTTGAGCGCCCAGCAGCTCAGTCYTGAGGCCCAAAGAGTTCTCCGCATTCCCATCCCGAACGGAGAAGGGCCAAAGTGTTGGTTTTAGGAGCGGGATAGTGGGGAAGAGATGCTGGGTATTTCTAGCTCTCACTCTCCTTTTCTCAGGCCTTTGGCTCCTCTTTTTTCCCAGTGCTGTCCAGGAGCAGATGGAGATGCCGGGTTGGAGGTGCCCATGAGAAGTTCATTATCAAGTGTAGTTATCACCCAGCCTTGATTACTGGGGTCATTTGTCATCCCTTTGCGGTGCTGAGCAGYGATGAAGTCAGCTGGGTTCCTTCCAGCCCTAGGGACGTATGGAGGGTTTGCATTAGAGCTTCCCCACAGCTGCTCGTGGCCCTTTTGGCATTGCCAAGGGATCCGTTCCCCGGATCCAGGACTGCGGATCTGGGACATCRGGGAGTTTTAGAGGGATCAGCCACTATCGGAGGCGTTCAATCCTGTTGCCAGACCCCCAGGTGATGAAGATGAAAGCTCCAAATCCCTCTGAATCTGTTTCTTCTGTCTACRCACTGCTGACACCCCAAACCCAAGCGCCTGCAGAGCAACGCTGATGCGTTTGGTTTAACTCTCTTAAAACCGAGTGGGACAAAGAGGATTTCGCTGYGTATTGGGGCAGCTTCCTTGACAAAAATACCTTCGATTTCTCCAGGGAGCAGAAGGATTTGCTTGGAACCGCCGTGTAACCTGTTGTTTCTTTTCCCCGTGTAGATCTCAGCTTCTTGTGCTGCTCGGTGGTCTCCTTTCGAAGAGGTAGACGCGTTGCACACAGCAAAACGCATGGTGTGTCCCTCGCAATAACCAGCGGCGACGCTGCGGGCGCTAACAAGTGCCTGGCTTTGGAGGACGCCCCAAAACGGGGCCCTTTGCCCAAGGCGCCGCCAGGGAAATCGCTGTTTTCTCACCCTGTTGCCATCCCCAACAACAACATCCCCCCTCTGCACGGGGGGGTTTGGTTTGGGCTGCCATTTCTGCCCGCTTTGCGCTTCTTGCACAAAGGAGGCAGCTCCGCTTTTGTCCCGCTGGCAGCGCCGGCTTTGGATGGGAGCGATTGAGCCCCGAAAGCGCCGGTGTTTGTGTGCGGGGCCTTTTCGGGGAGCCTCCAACTAACAACGAGCTGGGTGTTCGGCAGACCCGATATTTTGTGGTCGCAAGCGGCTTTTGCCCCAGTGCGGAAGCGTTTCCCGAGGAGAATCCAAGAACAAACAGGGAGAATCCAAGAGCATCGTCCACATTCGGAGCACCGGAGAAGTCCCACATGGGGAAAACTCCRGTGCCCTGTGTCTGTGGATGCCACGCTGCCCGTTCCGTGGGGCCAGGTGATGCCCTGGAGAGGGGAGGAATTAGGAGGAGGAAGAGGGAGCCGCGTGGGGAGCCCCCGAGCTCGGGCACGCGGACGTTTATTTTGGTCTCCAACACGAGGCTGCAATTTGTGAGAGCAGCTTTTTAAAAATAGAGCCAGGCGGGCGTCTGTCCCGGCTGGATCGAATCCRCGCGCGCGTTTGCTCGAGGAGGGAGAAAGGGAAGGATCCCACCCGAGTGTCTCGCTGTGCCCTTTTCAACAGCGTTTGCCCAAATTATTTCCCTCGGTGCTGGCGCCGCTGCTTCTGTTTGGCTTTTGAGTCCTGTGTTTATTTCATGGCTGGTAAGAAAATACCCTCTCTGTCGCCTGAAAATAATCCAGGACAGCTCAGGCCGGGCAGCTATTTGCTTAGCTGGATTCAGCTTCCCGTAAACAGCTCGGTGGAATGTGCTGAAATAATCCCTAGGGATTGGTCCTAGGCTCATGAATGGGGAAAAATAGTTAAAGAAGAGTCTTTTTTCGGGCTGGAATGAGCTCATTTTGGGCCCGGTGCGTTTTCCTGTTTCCGATGGTGTCCTGCCCCAGAGCTGAGGGGTGAACAGGGGGTTGTGGCGGGAGCGGGAGCGGCCGCTTTGCCAGGGAGCTCGGGAAGCGCCGGGAGGGAGCGGCGCTTCCTGCGAYGGCCGCGTTGGGAGCGGGGCCGGCGGCCGCAGGCAGCGACTTCCCTTTGGGCAGAGCCGGTCTCACCGCCCGGCCGCTCATCCAGAGGCTCTGCGGTGTCTTTAACCAAGGAATTAGGTGAAAAGAAGGGTTTTTGCAGGAGAGTGGGCTTCATGGCATGAAGCTCGGGCGCTTTGGGGTGCTCATGCTTTCAGTTGAGGCTTTTTTTGTATCCTTAATGTTTTGTGTATGTGATTCAAGCAGTATAAAACCCACCAAAATGTGCCAAAATGTGCCAAAATGTGCCACGGGGTCTTCCGACGAGAGCCATGTAGTCAAATCCTCCAGGAATCTGGTTCTATAGGGAAGCTTAAACATTAACATGGCTGAGTTTCAAGGGGATGAAGTGACTTAGGGCTTGCTCGAGTCTTGGGGATTTTGCAAGGCCCCGTTTACGTAATCGGGRCTTAACGAAACCAGGTTTAATTGCAGGCGCTGCAGAGGATGCCGGGTGCGTTTGCGAGCACGTGGTTCCTTGCGGCTTGATGGACGATTTTGCTGCTATAAGAGGAGCTGGGCAGAAATCGAGCAGAAATCGGTGCTTTTTGGAGAGTTTAACGCCTTCAAAGCCAAATGCCAAGCGCTTGGGTGCTGCATAGTGGTGATTAACTCTAATTATGGCTTCATTCTTTTGACAGGTTCTTCGGCTTTCAAAAAGTCGCTCACCTCGGAGGTAAGTTGGACAGATTGCTGCAACAGAAGGCAAAGAGTTAGGCGTGACTTACTGGTGTGAAGGAGAGCATGGCAAGTGGTCTGGATTGGGCTCAGCTTAGAACCAGCCTTTCTATGATGCTAGTAATGAGGAAAAAATAAAATAAACCCCTAGGCTCTTCCCTGGCTCAACAGCAAGCCCAGATTGCCTTAAACAAAGGTGGTTTTCTACCTCGTTTCCAGGCCTGGATCGTAGAGGAGGAGGCCGTTGGTTCCTTGAGAGCCTTTTAATGCCTCTTTATTCTAAAGATGACCCTATAGGTATCGTCCTTCCGCGTGCACGTGGGGAGCTGGAGCTTCAGGCCCAGCTGCCACCTTCAAGAACAGCAGAGTTGCACCATGGGGTTCTGGCCGGACATAAACCTCTAAGACACTGATTATTACTATTATTTTATTGGGAGTTAAATATTTTGATTCTTAATCCTTACTCTCCTTCTTTCCCATCCTAGTTGCCAGGTTCTTCCGGACAGCCGGGCTCCCAGACCATAAAGAAGGGGCACAGAGGAGTGGATTCCACGGGGGAGACCACCTACAAGAAGGTGGGTTGTCCAGGGATCATCCAGTCCTTGCCTTTCCAAGGCACGACCGGCTGGATTATTTATTTCTTTGCAAACCTGTAAGCGTGGGGGTTTGGGGATGCTTCTTCCAGGCTGTTGAGCTCCGGGCACGTGCCAACTTTCTCTGAAATTAGACTCGTTTCAGGGTGCGTTTTAAACAGTGATTCAGTGCAAACATTTCATTGCTCTATGGAGGTGAAGCGTCTGTTCACTTCCCTGCCTGTTCCCTACTTTCCTACCCTAGCAATTCCAATTCCTACCTGGAATTGGAGTGAATGGGAGGAATTCCAGTGCTGTTTTGGTTTATAGTTCCTTCCGAAACTGCTTTCTTATTTCARTTTGGGATCTACCTTCCAGTTTCCAGATTGTTTAAAGGTAGGAAGTTAACAGCAATATTAGAGYAGAGATAGAAATCGGTGTAAACGCCTGAAATGCTTGCAAGGATCTCGGAAACCGGGGGGACACTACACGGGATTGATCTGGCACTGACCAATGGACAGTCTGTGTTTTTTTTCTCTCCTTCTGCAGAAGTTGTAAGTTATTTTTCAAGTTCTTTTGCCATCTAAAAGCAATGGTCAAGAGGCAGCCAGCTGTGATAGGGAAGAGGCAGTTAAGGAGTTTCTGGCAGTTTTATAAGGCTTTAAGGAGGATGTGTGGCTGGGCGAAAGCACAAAATATTTATCCCTCAAATGTGGTCTTGGATACCGAGATATCCCTCTGTCCCCAAGTGCTTTGATGTGCAGTGGTTCATTGTGTGTGGTAGGGGGCTGAGCTCTCCTTAGCTCAAGGAAAACACGAGCTGTTTGGATTGCGAGCCCTGGTTCTTGTCCTGGCTCCCTTTGCCTTATGCAGAAGCCAAGGGAAATATCCATGAGCTGTAGCGCCCAAATCCCGCTTGCACCTGCCCTGCAGCCTTGGCATTTCCAGCTCTTTGCAGCAGAATTCGTGGTTCTGCACTCAGGGAATCCTCGCAAGGGCTGCGGAGCGGCTCTTAGCTGCTCGTTTGGGAAGGGATAGGCTGAATGAAGGCATTTCTGAGGAGAGCTYGTGCGTTGAAGGACACAGGAGGACTCCCGGTGCAAGGAGCTGTTGTAAGAGCACAGCCCTACGTTGCTCTGGGACGGTCGTGCGGAGGATGCCGGGGTGGGTTTTGTGTCCACGCTTTTCCTTATTTCAAAATACCAGGAAGCTGGTTAGTGTTTAGAGCCCCAATCTATGGAAAGAGTCGGACGGGAGCGTGAGGTGATGCAGGAGCAACCGCGGGTTCTGTCCTGGAGAATGTCAACCTTCAAGCCAGCCAGAGGTGCCAGAGAACACGGGGGACACAAAATAGGGTGTCCCTGGAGCCAGGAGATGTAAAATCCTCTAAATCATTTAAACTTACGTCTCTTCTCTTGGCAATCTCTTCGTGCCCGTTTGCACCGTGTCTAACTTGGTTTTCTCCTGCCCCTCCAGACAACCTCATCGGCCTTGAAAGGTGCCATTCAGCTGGGCATCACCCACACCGTGGGCAGCTTGAGCACCAAGCCTGAGAGAGACGTTCTCATGCAGGATTTCTACGTAGTAGAAAGTATTTTCTTCCCAAGGTCAGTGTTCGTGTTCTCCTCTGTGCCGCGCTCGACAGTTCAGCAGCCCTAGTTCCTAGTTCCTACCCCTGTTTGCACGTTRGGAAGCAGCACCGAACTTGGGCAGTTGCCTGCAGGTTTGAGCCCAGCTTACCTGAGCAGAGCTACCCCATGTGCTGCCAACAGCTCAGCTCTCTTGTTTCTAGGTGTGCCCCTCTCAGTGGGTGCCCTCTGGCTTTGGGTGGGGTACAACGAGGCCCCCAGTGCGTCCAAGAAGCCTTTCGGGTGCAAATACCTGTGTGTTTCTCTCCCTCTGATCAGCGAAGGCAGTAACCTGACGCCAGCTCATCACTACAACGACTTCCGTTTCAAGACCTACGCGCCGGTGGCGTTTCGCTATTTTCGGGAGCTGTTTGGGATCCGGCCGGATGACTATCTGGTGCGTTGTTGCCTGAATTAGGTTCCGTTTTGTCGCCTGTTTGGGTAGTTTGGTCTCTTCCACCTCGTCTCAGTGGCAGATTCCATGCATGTGCCTGTGTTTTGCCTCCGTTYGTATTTAAAAGGAGGGTTTTATGCRCTCAGGATTCCTCTTTCACCTGCRCTTTCCTYGTTGTGTCCTCCTCAGTACTCGCTCTGCAACGATCCCCTCATTGAACTCTCCAACTCTGGCGCCAGCGGGTCCCTCTTCTACGTGTCCAGCGATGACGAGTTCATCATCAAAACAGTTCAGCACAAGGAGGCTGAGTTCCTGCAGAAGCTGCTACCTGGCTACTACATGGTAAGCTTATTGCACATGAATTTCATAAATATGATTATAGCAAAACCAAAAAAGCAGCATTTCCATTAGGCAAACGAAGGAGCAAAGAACTCCTCACATTGGCACCTGACTAACCAGAACGGCTTTGAAACTGTCGYGGTGTCGTTGGCGTTTCAGAACTTGAACCAGAACCCCAGGACGCTGCTGCCCAAGTTCTACGGCCTGTACTGYGTCCAGGCCGGGGGCAAGAACATCCGCATCGTCGTGATGAACAACCTGCTGCCCCGCTCGGTGAAGATGCACCTCAAATACGACCTGAAGGGCTCCACCTACAAGCGCCGAGCGTCCCAGAAGGAGCGGGAGAAGGTCTTCCCCACCTACAAGGACCTGGATTTCATGCAGGACATCCCCGACGGCCTGTTCTTAGACTCCGACATGTACAGCGCTTTGTGCAAAACGTTACAGAGGGACTGCTTGGTAAGCGGGGAGGCTGAGGGGCGCTGTGGAGGCTTCCTTCCCTTTCCGGAGCCTTTCCCAAGAAAACTGGGCAGCAGCCGCCATCCTTGCAGCCCCTGAGGTGGTGGCTACAGGGTGTCTGTCCGTCCGTCTTGTCTTGGGGTGGTGGCATGGACAGGAAGGAGGATGTGGAGCACAGTTTTCTTGAATTAAACTCAGCGCAGCTTCTAGAGCAGGAGGAGACTGCATTTTTCCTCCTGCCAACCGTGTGCTCCGGAGTAGAGCAAGATGCTGGGAGAGGGGTGGGATTGTCGGATGGAATCCGGATTCAAGTGGCAAACCGCCTTTGAGCAGCTGTGCAGAAACCTGTGGCTTATAGGGTCCCTTTTGAGCACCTGGAGATGAGCTGAGCCTGCACAAACTGTGGATTAAAAGCCAGGCCCTGGGTGCACTCGCTGCCCTCGGCAAAGCTGCTGACGGTGCTCGTGAAGCCGCCTGCTCTGCCCTTTCCCCTGCGCTCCCAGCCCTGAGCGARCCTGCGTTGCCTTCCCGCCCAGGTCCTGCAGAGCTTCAAAATCATGGATTACAGCTTGCTCGTGGCCATCCACAACATGGACCAGGCGCAGAGGGAGCACGCGCTGGCCGACGGGACGTCCCAGACGGACACGCGCCGCCCGGCCGCCCAGAAGGCCCTCTATTCCACGGCCATGGAATCCATCCAAGGAGAAGCTCGGCGAGGTGGCACCATAGAAACGGACGACCAGTAAGTCCACGTCGGTGCTGCTGCTTCGCGAGGTGGTTTACACAGCCCTCAGCCCGTGCCAGGCTGCGTGAGAGGGGCAATAGTGTCTGAAAATATTATTTACTGGATTTTTTGCCCCCCTTTTTCTAGAATGGGAGGTATTCCGGCCCGCAACGCCAAAGGGGAGAGGCTGCTCCTCTACATCGGCATCATTGACGTGTTGCAGTCATATAGGTAGAAAACCTGCCGTGACAGCCGCGTAGCACCAAAGCGTGAAGTCCACTTTGCAGCATTATTTGCCCTAGCTTGAGTATCAAGATTGGATTTCAAGAAATAATTCAATCACAAATAACCTTTTCTGTTATTTTTATAGCCGACTTTATTTCTTCTTTTTTGTTGGATGTTTTGGGGGGATTAGGGGGGTCTTGGTTTCTATATTCACTTCATGTTTCTGGGRTAGGCTTATTGTCGTGACGTCCTTTTCTGTGCTGTGGTTATTGCACACAGGGAGTGTGCAGGAAGTGGCAAGGAAAAAATAGTTGGGGGCCCAGGCTGGGTCTAACCACTCCTCCCCACACAGTGAAAATAGCTGAAAAAAAAATCTGTTAAAAGAATAGAGCCCCGTGGTCAGAAGCTGGGCTTGGACTTGAGTGAGCACGGATTATGGAAGCCTGGGGTTAAAATTCTTCTTAATTTTCTCCTTTCTCAGATTTATCAAGAAGTTGGAGCACTCCTGGAAAGCCCTTGTGCATGATGGAGTAAGTAGCAAAAATGCACCGTGTAACTTCCAGCGATGCCTCYTTCGACTGTCTCCTCTGTGCTTTTTGGCATAAGATCCTGCCTATTAAAGGCATATATGTGGCTGCATCGTTACAAAGAAAAGGAAAACTTTGTGGGTCCCCTCAAAAACGCGGGCGGTAATAAAAAAAAAAATATTTTTATTCAGTATCTAACCCACTTCTCAGAGCTACGTGTTGCTCCGTAAGAGAACCCCTTGGCTGCTCCCCCTCCAACGCTGCAAGGTTGACGGTCCGGAGAGCCTTGACCGCCCGTTAATTCCGCGTGTTATTTCCGTTAAAACGTGCTTTAACGTTTGTCTCCTAGGACACTGTGTCCGTGCACAGGCCCAGCTTCTATGCTGAGCGKTTCCAGCGGTTCATGTGCAACACGGCGTTCAAGAAAATACCACGTAAGTCCCTTTGGTGCAGAGGCACCCGCACAATCRCGGTCAGTTCTGCTCCCCTCTGCTTGGCAGAGATGTGGAGAAGCTGGTGGACGCCGTGCAAGAAGCTCTTGGGTTTGCAYGGCGCTGGGTCCCCTCTTGCTTCCTCCCAGTTGGCTCTTGCCACCCAGATGTGACCTCAGAGAAGCCGTTCAGAGCCTTTGTGTCAGCCGGTGTCACTGGGAAGTTGCTGGGTCGGGTCTTTTGGCTCCTTCCTGGGAGGAACGTGCTGATAAAGCGTCGTCTTGGCTTTTGTCTTTGAAGTGAAGCCTTCTCCCTCCAAGAAGAGCCGGTCGGGCACGGCGGTGCCGCGGCGGAGCTGCCAAGGAGGAGCGCTCTCCCTGTCCCACGTGTCCTATGACACGAAAGCACAAGTCACAACGGAGGTGGATGTGGAGCAAGGTTGGTGTCCAGGCTTAAACAACCCAAAATTTATCAAAAAAGAGCTCTTTTTAAGCTGGAATTTGTGACATTAAAGCTCGTTGTCTGCTGAACCGGGCCACGCACCTCCCTGTTGTTCTGCAGACTTGTTAGGGACGCCGTTTTCTGGGATTGCAGATGAGTGAAATAAACGGGAGCCAAGGTCTGTTACACAGCAAGGTACATTTTGAGGGCACTGGGGACATCCAGGGGACACTGAGCCCTTCATTTGTGCCCACTGGTGCGTTTTGGGGAGGATCTTGATTCCCCTCACGTGAGGAGAAGAAAGAACTGTAGCGAGATAGTTTTCTTTGGGCCATAATTAACTTGCAGGGCTAATTGCCCCAGCAAGTTGCTCGAGGCAAAGCAAGCGGCTGGATTTCAAAAACAAGGAGTCGGTGGAGARGAGCAGATATTTTAGAGGTCTAGGTCTTCTTTAGAGGTCTAGCAGATACCTCGGCCTGGTGGCTCGTGCCACAGGAGGCCCCTCGTTGCGCTGGTGATGGAACAGGCCGTGCTTTAACGCAGGTTCCCACCTCGGTCGTCCAGATCTCCTGCCCAGGACACTGCCAGTGGATGAAGCCAACAGTGATTCCGTCGCGACCACCCTGTCCACCTCTTCCTTGGGCAGCGGAGGCCTCAACTCGCCCGCCAACAGGTGAGACCAGGGTTGTTCCAGCACGTGGGGCACGGGCAGCTTCTGCAGGGGGGCTCTGCGTTGCTTTTGGGGAGATCTGTGGTTTGGCCTGGTCGCAAGCGAGCAGCTCGAGTGGCGCTTGTGCGTGGAGCAAGGCCAGGCCTGTGGGTTGGAGCATGTGCAAGGGGGAGCATCGTGTCACCCTTCGTGTCGCCCTCCATTTGTGCCGCCCCTCTCGGACAACGTCATCTTGCACCTTCTGCTTGGGCTGGGGGGGAGTCGCCGTGGCTTTTGGCTCCGTGTTTTGTATTGGACGTGAGGGGGTTGTGTTAATTAAAGCGTATTAGTGGAAGTGTCGCTGGGGCCATGTGCGTGAAGAGCATTGCTGYGGTGCTGGGGGACCCTCGAAGTGACCCGCTTGGAGGGCTGGGCCCCCCTGTGTCTTACTTTAAGCGTCGAGGTCCTGCGATTTGGGGCAGAAAGCGGAGGGGACGTGTGGAGGTGCAGCCCAAAATATCTTGGCGGGGGGAAAGTAGAGCATGGAGAGCTGTGAGGGAGCCTGTGTCTGTGTTGGGATGTTTTGTCTGTTGTCCAAGGCGGGAGATTGGCAGGTAYGAGGAGGAGCTGTGGTCCGAGGACATTCCCTTCCACAGAAGCTGTTCGGAGGTGGTAACTTCTCCTCCTGGATGCGATTGGAAACCTCTTTCCTCGGCCGGTGCCCGCAGACTGGCACGGATTGAGGTGTCCGCTCTGCGTGAGCGGAGGGAAAGCAAGATGCAATTGCCAGGAGCACCTCTTGCTCCCCCTTGAAAACCTGGAGGCTTCTTGGTGGGGATCCTACACCAGAGCTGCTCCTTCCCAGGCCGTCGGCGTGCCGGACGCTTTCTTGCCATTTACTTAACTGCGGGTCTCTCTCCTTCAATCCCTGCATAGGTCAGTGGGCGTCCAAGTGCATAAAGCTGACAGCTCAGCAAAGGATTTGCCTAGAACAGCTCCTGGCCTCGTCTTGCCTAGGTGAGGGGAGGACCCAGGCTGCCCGAAACCTTCTCCCGCCTAAGAGGGTGAAGGCCGCGGGGCTTCTTCCGAGGCTCAGCCTCGCGCTGGTTGCTGCCTGCTCCTTGCAGGGCTCTGGCCCCGTGAGTTCGCTCCTGAAATGCGGGGCTTCACCGTGGAGGGCAGCACGGGACGATCTGCAGCATGTTTGCTTGCTATATAATATGGTATCTATACATCAAGCAGCTTTCAGGATGAGGTGTCCTCCTCCTGTGAGGTGCTGCGGAGCTCTGCGAACCCAGCCAAGAGTGCAAGCAGTTGGTGGATGGCTGCTTTCTGACCCCGCAACTCACTGAATGGCTTTAAACACCTTTTTTCCCCCTCTCTGCAGTGTTAGCCAGACTAATTGGGGTATTTACCCGCCTGCGGGAAGCCTCTTAAATCTRTGAGTCCTGGTCCCTTGCGAGCTGCTCTGGCTGGAGAGGTTTCAAGCCCTGCTCACGGAGGGCTGGGTGCGGGACAGGGYCTGTCCTGCCGTGAAACACGGGCCCAGCCTTGGCTCTTGTGCACCCCAAMCCCCTGTCCCCTGAGCGGCTGCCGCGCGCTGGCACCTCCACACGTGCCATTGAGGGTGACGCCCGCCGAGCTGGTTCTCCCGGGACCGTGGGAGAACATTCCTTGTGGCTCCTGGGTGCCCGCGGAGCCGGCGCCGTCGCGTTGGGCGCCGTGCGGGGTGAGCAGGGAATGTCGTGCGCCGGTGCGGCGCTCCGAGGACAGCCCGTCCGCATCCCGGGAAGGGCAGGATGGTTGGGATTCCACAGCCCAGCTCCGTCATTAACCCCCCTGGCTGTCATTAACGCTCACCTGGCACCGTATGCCCTTGGGAAGGTAAGTTCCCAGTCCCGGAGCAAGCTGGATACACACTGCTATTTATTTTTCCTATAAATCCCTCAACCTGATCACCCGGCCCTTCGTTAGGACGCTGCTCTTCCACAAATGGAGAGAAATCCTTGCTCTGGAATTAGCACCAGGCATCATTGYCTTTAATTTCTGTGTTGGAACCAGACCCATTGGCGAGCGAGGCTTCGTCCTGGCACAGATGGCAGTTTTTTGCACCTGATAAGGACAATAATGGCTCAGTTTGGGTTACAGAGCTGCTGGTGATCAGAAGGTGCCACCATGGGGTGCTGTGAACCTCGATGCCCTCTGCACCGCGAGATGGAGCCAATTAATCCGCGAGATGGAGCCAATTAATCCGCTTCCCGCAGGCTGTGCCTAAGGAAAGGGGCACCCAGGCGCTCCTAAAACCTCCTGCAATGGTCAGGGCAACAGGGAGGTGCTGGATACTTTGTGCCTGGACCACTGGTGTGCTCAGAGGCTTCGGAAAAGAGGGGTTGCTTCTGAGCTGGACACAAAGGTGCTCGTTCCTCGCGCTGGAAGTCGTGCTTCCTGGGGGAATGGTTTTGCTAGGTGGGATTTTCCATGCTGGGCCAGTGGGAATAGTGTTGCCTGTGATAAAGCTGCCTAACAAAAGCCCTTGGGCAGTGCTTGAATGCTCCATTTTGCTGGGTGCAGCAGGGGGACCAAGAAATGGGACTTATTGACGGCTCCTTTTGAAAACTGCCTTACAGATCTGCCCCTTCTGTCTCCCCAGCGGATCCCCGGGACCTTCCATCCCAGAGCGCTCCTCAGAACTGAGGGAACAGCTGGAAGACCTGCAGGAAACGGAGATAAGCTTTGTGAGTACTTGCCGGGAGGAAGCGAGCATCTCTGGAGAGGGACAGTTACGGGGGTTACTTCTCATAGCCCCTGTAATGACATTCCAGAGTGGAACATAACCCCCTGTGGATTTACTCCCTGTAAATCTACATCCCAGAGTGGCTCTGACAGCGGAGAAACAGGCAAATCTGAATAGATTCATCTTGCTGCTCCAGTGGGGAGTGATTAAATACCCAAACCCGCTTGTCTTAGCGTAAAGGGGTGGCTTAGACAAGGGGCAAAGCCTGAACTGAGCTCAACAGCTCCCTTCCCTTGAGCTCTGCCAGGGTGCGTTAGGCAGAGGAGACTGAGCTTCCTCAGAGGAAGAGGCGGCTCCTTTCCAGCATCTCCCCTCTCTTCTCTTTTCAGTGAAGTGACACCGAGACGGTCGGGATGGAAGCAGCTTGTTCCRCGCTCCGCGGGGTCTGCGGAGCCTGACAAACACTCAGCCCCCGTTGCTGATTTATTTTATTTTATTAGCAATCTTTACCCTGGACAGAAGCCCGGAAGGCTGGGCTCCGCTTAGTGGGATGGTGTTAACAAAGACGGAGTCTTGAACGCCTGGAAAATCTCCTTACGGCAGAACCCGCGAGGTGGGACCGCATCCGGGCTGTCCTCCTTTCTCTAAAGCCTGGTGGGAGCAAAGCAGGCRGCCGAGAGGAGGAGGAAGGTTCTCCAGGAATGGGAGCGATCGGATTTTCTGGGATTTTATCCGCTCGCGATGCCAGCATCGCAAACCTGGCCGGAACAGGCAACTCTCCGGAGACCTGGGAGGGGAAAAAGGGCATTAAAGCCTTGTTGGGGCAGTTTGCGACAGAGCAACGTGGGTTTCATTTTGTATTTTGAAACACGTTTTTAATTTAAATGTGCGCTTGAATTTGGTTATATCAACTTTATAGTCCTGCAATATAGTGTTTTTTTTTTTTTTTAATGAATAGGCTTCTCAGTGTTCTACCAAAAAAGTATCCCATGTRAGAGAGGCGGAAGGGGGAAGTGGAAGCTAAACTGGCCGCAGATGAGTTTTTTTCCTGACATTTTTCCCTCCGGCAGCTGTTCCCAGTTGCAGGATCCCCTGCCTTGCGTTATCCCGAGAGCGCAACGTGGCCTGGCAATATGCGAAGCTCTTAACACGTCAGGGAGGTATTTTGGGTTGTTTTCCCCCCTTTTTTAGACAAACCTTTTATCTCCTTCCCTGCAGAGGGGCAAGGCCCTTTGTCAGGGCCGCTTTCTCCTTTAGCTTTTGGTATTTCTTAAGCAAACGGACCAAACTTCGCTGCTCGCTTCCCTTCCCTGGCCCTCCGCTCTGCTGTTACATCCCTTTTGTGGACACCACTTGCAAAAACCTCGCGGTTTTTATAGCTCGGCTCCCTTTTGATAACTCCCCCTTGGATCTAAGCCAGCATTTGCGGAGCCACGTTGGACACCAGTGCTCGAAATTGAGATTCCTCCATAACCGGCTGCCTATTCCACCCATTGCAAYAGGTTTTTTGCCTCTGCAAGAGCACAATGCACCTCGAGCTTGAGGAGGCCGAGGGCTCAGCTCCAATAGAAAGAAACAAAACCCCAAAAAGCAGCAAAATCTGTTGCTGTTTTCCGTAGCATGCCCACAAACCTGGGGTGATGATGCAGGCACTGGCTGCAGGCACTTCAAGAGCTCCGAACAAATGTTGGCCTGATCTTTATTTTCACTAAATGCTTTTTTTGAAAGAAATGAAGCGACTCTTCCCCATGGGCCCAGTGGGTTAGAATCCTCCATCCTCTTTTTTATATATATAGATATATTTAAAAAAAAAAAAAAAAAAAAGGATTTAAAAGTGTTCGCCCTTGCAGTAGTGCAAGGGATTTCTATACTAATTAGCAATGATTGCTAAGGAAACAAAGAATGTAGTGGTGTAGAAGGGGATTTTTCTTAGTTGATGTTTCAGAGCCAAGTCTCTGCCCACCTTCCACTTCAAGCTTTTCAAGTGGATGCGATAAGCTGATTATTTTTGTAAGGAAAAGGGGTTTTTTTAATTTTTTTTTTGGAAAGACCAAGTGGAACGGCCTTATTCCGGGTGTCCGGATCCCAAGGGGTTGGGTGGAGAACAGTCTCAAGGGCTCTCGACCCTTTAAAAACCCATTTAATTATCATGATGGGAGGAAGATCGGCGTGGGGACGACCCCAACCGTCTCTGGTGGATCTTCCACTTTCCCTCCCCGTTACCTCCGACTCTATCCAGCAGGTTACACTTCATAGCTGAAGTAACTGTCTATATTAGACACTGCTTCTTATCTTCCCTCCTAACTCCTATTTTTTTTTAACCAGGAGAAAAGAAAAACAAGTCTTTTTTTTTTTTTTCTCATGATTTACTATTTATGAAGTCGTATTTAAGTGTTTTATTCTGGGGGATAGTTATTCAGTGAGTAGGGAAATGGGGAGGGCTGGGGCATTTATATATGGGGACTATTGACCTCTGCTTTGTAATGGTTTTTTCAGATGGACTTTTTTCTGTTGTCGGCGTTTTCTTTCTGCGTGCGCGTTTGGAAGTGGCAGGCAAACCTAGTTTTAATGTCTTTTTAAAAAGAAAATAAATAAAGTGGCTTTTCTCTATCGCGGCGGCTTCGGTTCTCTCGGCCAGAGCCCGTGCAGCGCCTCGCCGTGGAACAGCTCGTGCCGTGTTGTGAATATTGTCATTTTAACCGTGTACCTTCTTTTCTTCGGGCCATCCGCCGCTGTTAAAATGGATATTGGAAATCAAAGCTGTCTCTTTCTCAGCACCGAGACGCAATATACGGTATGCTACTAAACCCACACCCGTGTCCAGGCTCTTGCTTTGTGGTTTGCTTGGTTTTGGGGGGTTTTTATTGATTTGTTTCCCTATTTTTTCCCCCTCTCTGGTGGAATGGAGGGGGATGTGTCTCCACTCGGCTGGGATGGGGCTCCAGGGCAAGGGGAGGGCCCTGGAGCCTGCGGGGCTCTTTGTGTCCCCAATGGCCACACGCTCGGTGTCACACGGGCCCCTTCCCCCCCTCTTTGGGCGTCGGGCACGGGTCCCTCCATGTTCCCTCCTTCGTCCCTCAGGCGGCCGGGACTACAACTCCCGGCGTGCCCCGCGGCCGCGCCTCGCCTCCGCAGACGGGCGGCGGCGATTGGCCGGGAGCGCCGAGCCAATCGCCGAGCGCCTTGTTGGGCGCGGTGCCGCTCTGAGGGGAGGAAGGAGGCAAGATGGTTCTGGAGAGCACCATGGTGTGGTGAGCGGGCCGGCCGCGCCGCCATGGCCTCCCCTTCCGCCCTCCCGGCCCCGCTTCCCGCCCGCTCCCGGCCCCGCGGGGCTCCGTGCCCGGGCGGCGCGCGTCGGGCCGCGGCCGCGTTTCCCTGAGTCATGCCGGGCCGGGCGGGTGTATGGGGAGGGCTGGGCCGGCGATCAATGGGGGAAGGTCTGTGCGGTTTGGGGTGGGGGGCCTCCGAGGGGCAGGTTCAGCGCATGGGGCTGAGGCAGGAGGGTTGGGTGCGGGGCAGGGGTAGGGGAAGATGTGCAGAGGGGCAGGGAAGGCTCGAGGCAGGGGGAGGTCTGAGGAAGGAGAAGGTTTGGGACACGGGCAGCTTTGGGATGGGACAGGTTGGGACACGGGCAGCTTTGGGATGGGACAGGTTGGGACACGGGCAGCTTTGGCTCAGGAGCAGGTTGGGGCAGGGGTCCCTGGCGTGGCTTGTTCTGTGGGGAGAAGGACGGGGCCTGTGCGGAGCAGGAGCACCCCGGGGAAGGGGCGCAGGGTGGGACGGGGCTGGGTGGAACAGGGGGYGCGTTGGGTTGGCGGCTGCCGGGCGCCGCTGCTGGGCTCCCAGGTGCCCGTAACCGGTCCGGGTTAAAGCCCATGTCGGAGCAGCCCAGCCCAGAGCGTCTCCGCGCTGCTCTTGTTCGGTGCCCCTTTTGCCGTAACGGGCCCTGCGTGCGGCGCATGGGCTGGAACCAGAGCCAAACGCAGCAAGTTCTCCTTCGCTGCTTCGCTCCTTCGCAGCAGTTCGCCCTGCTGCTTTTTGTGTCCCCACTGTCACACCAGCTCCAGCCTCTCACACCCGATACCTCACGTTTCTGATGGTTGTGGAGGCCGCAGGAGAGCAAATCCATGAGATATATAGGCTGGCTGTTTGGATAAAGTTATCACCACAGTCGGATTCGGTGCCTGTGTGTTAAATCCTCAATGTTTTCTCCGGGTAGCTCTGCTTACTTGAGTTGGAGGGTGTTTTACTTTGTCACTGCTCCCTGTGCTGTTGTTGCTGCTCGCTGGGCAGGTAGCCCAGTTCGTGCTGACAGGGACCCCGTGCCTGTAGTGTCAGGAAAAGCTTTGCCACGAGCCAGGCTGTCCCAAAGAGGAACCTTCTCACCGGGATCCAAAACTGGAAGTGCTGCTTACGGGAGTCTTTTTGGGGGAAAACATTCAGGCTTTTATTTAAATGACTCCTTCTGCCTCCCATCGCTTTCCAGCATAAGAGCAGAGTTGCGAGGGGTCGCACAGGAACGTTTCGGGGAGCGTGGGCTTGAGCTTGTGYGGCTGCAGCATCCGCAGCGACCCCCTCCAGGCTCTTCCAGGCTCGAGCCTTGGGCTTGTCCTGTGACCCAAAGGACGGTCCCTGTGACGTGTCCCTGCTCCCAGAGGGACGTGTCCCATGTGAGCGCTCGTGGGAGAGTCGCCGTGCCTTTAGTCGCCTTCACTCGGGTCCTTTTGTCTCTGGGGTGTTGGTGTCCCTCCCCTCGGGACCTCAGGGCTGCCCTCCCGAAAAGCCCGTTTTGGGGACAAGTCCCCGCCGTTCCCGAGTGTCACCTTCTCCCTTGCGTTTCAGCGTGGACAACAGCGAGTACATGCGGAACGGGGACTTCTTGCCCACGCGCCTGCAGGCCCAGCAGGACGCCGTGAACATCGTGTGCCACTCGAAGACCCGCAGCAACCCCGAGAACAACGTGGGCCTCATCACGTTAGCCAAGTACGGCTGTGCGGGGCCGGCGCCGGGTGTCCCAACAAGCGGTTGAGGACGGGGCTGTCACGGCAGCTCGTGGACAGCTTTGGGAGGGAGCGTTTCTTCATTTTCCTGAGGCTTGGAGGGATTTGGTGCCTTGAGAGCTCGCTCTCGGCCAGAACCTGTTAAAATCAGCCCATGGGAAGTGAAGGGCTTTGCAAAGATCACAACTAAAAGGTGACCAGTTTCAATGTGTTTTATTGCAGTAACTGTGAAGTGCTGACCACGCTCACGCCAGACACAGGCCGCATCCTTTCGAAGCTACACACAGTGCAACCTAAAGGGAAAATCACCTTTTGCACGGGAATCAGAGTTGCTCACGTAAGTGGTCGCTCACAAGTGAGTCCCTGCCTTTCTCGGGAGCTCTTTCTGCCYGAGTCCTGCGGAGCTATTTGTCCTGAGGCCTGAGCTCCGGTTCTCTTTCCACCTCTGTAGCAAAGCGAAGCAGATCATTGAATCAATATCTGTCCAGTGAATTTAGGCTGGGGGCTTGAACCTCCCCGTGCTGGAGTTGGCCAGCGTGCTGCATTGAACGTGATCCTGCTCCACTGCTGCTTTTGAGAAATCGAAGTATCGCAGCTAGGGCCCACGACTCCCTTGTGATCCCATGTCTTGAGCTGAGGAGCCAAACCCTTCCCACCAGGGCATGGTCGCCWGCCCTGGCATTTAGCCTGAATTTTCCTGCTTGTGAATTTTCCTGGAAGCAAGAGAAGTAACTCTTGGCCMTCTCTTCTGTCCTGGGAGCTGCTCCCTGAGTGCCACGTGCCTCTTGTTTTGTAGCTGGCTTTGAAACATCGTCAGGGCAAGAACCACAAGATGCGAATCATCGCCTTTGTGGGGAGCCCCGTAGAAGACAACGAGAAGGATGTGAGTGACGACAAGYGTGAGGAAAATAAATTGCTGGGTT